CATGGGGGGGGGTACTGGAAAGAGGACTCATTAAGAGCACTGCTGCTCTCGCAGAGGACCAGGGTTTGATTCCCAGCACCTAATGGTGGCTAACAACCATCTGTAACTTCTGTTCCAGGGAAATCCAGTGCTCTTTTCTGACCTCCGTGGGCATTGCATGACATGGGTGCACTTACATACATGCAGGCAATGGCTTTCAAACACACATTAAAAAAAATTAAAATAAGCTGGGCATGGTGGCGCACGCCTTTAATCCCAGGCGGATCTCTGTGAGTTTGAGGCCAGCCTGGTCTCCATAACGAATCTTGGCCAGCTGCGGCTGGCTACAGGGAGACCCTGTCTCAAGAAGACCCCCCCCCCAAAAAATTATTTTTTTTGTTCCTTTATAAAACTTTAAAAATATATTTTATTTATGTGTATGAGTGTATTGCCTGGATGAATGTAAGTGCACCTATGCCATGCAGTGCCCACAGAGGTCAGAAGAGGGCATTGGATTCCCCTGGAACTGCAGTTACGGATGGTTGTGGGTGCTGGGAATTGAAACTGGGTCTTCTGTAAGAATAGCCAGTGTTCTTAACTGTTGAGCCATCTCTACAGTTCCCTAAACTTTTTTGTTTTTCAGTCAGAGACTTGCTGCTGTAGCCCAGGAGGACCTCGAGCTCTTGATTCTCCTCCCTCCGCCTCCCAGGTTCTGGGATAACAGGCGTGTGTTGCCGCCTCTGGCTTCCTTGTTCCTGGTTGTTTGGCGGCTAGGAGGAGCCGCATTTGCTTCTGTGGCTGCTCTTGTCCTTAAACACTTAAAAACTGTCCGCAGGCCTGTGTGTGTTTTAGATCTAGTTCAGTGTCTCGACTTTCTCCCTCTCCTCCTTTTTTGGCCTTATGATTCCTATGAAGTTGCCCCCACCCCCAGGGCTCTTCCCTGTTCAGCTGGAGACTCACTGCATCTGTACTTCCCATGGTGGTCCCTGCTCCTCGGATGAAGCTGGCCCCCTCGCGATCAAGCTCTGCATTACTCTTGTTTCCCACGCCACCCTGCTCTCTGCATTGCTTTCGAGGAGCTGGAGGCCACACTTGTCTCTTGCTTTGGGGGCCTCATCTTTGTCTTTGGAACTAGCAGGACCTGTCTCCGTGTCTGTCCTGGTTCCCTGGGGCTTTCCCTGGGCTGCTGGCATTGGTCTTCCATGTCTGCCCAGGGCCACGTCATTCCAGAGCTTTCTTTGCACAGCTGCCTTTCTGACCCTTGTCACTTTTCTCCTGTTTCCTCTCTCTTTTCTCCTGACCTTGCTCACGCAGAGCTCCTTACCGTGTGTTCACGTGGCCCTGGGCCCTTGGCCCCTGGCAGTATATTTGCTCCTGAGGTGGTTTTGTCTTTCCTTTCTGAGTTCTGTCGTTCTGATCTTAGTATTTTCCTCTGGGTTTTTAAGGTCTGCTCCTAGGAGTTGAGCTTCTGGTGCAGGATGGCTTTTCTGCCCCAGGCGCTGCTCGTCATGTCTTGCGTCCCAGTTGCTGCCCTCCCGCCTTTGCTCTGCCAGCTCTGTGCCATCCTGCTCTCTTCATGAGTGGCTCGGCTGCTCTCCTGCCCTGATGGTTTTTGGCAGTTGGGTGCTTTGCTGCTTGTGGGGTGAGGGCGCCCTCTCCTGGCAGCACGGAACTCCAGGCTGCTCTGCACCAGCGCCTGGGAGCTGAGGGCTTCCTGGATCTCCCTTTTCTTCTCTTCCCTTCACTGCCCCCATTGTCAGGAGTTCTTGAGATGATCCATTTGCCCTCCTAAGACCCCCCCCAAAGCCTTGGGGACCCTTCCTTATGGCCCGTGCTGGGACTCCCTGGGCATATGTTGCGTACTCCTGCTTCCCTGTGGTAGCGCCTGTTTGTCTCCCACGTGGGCAGCCTTGCAGGAGCGTGGCCATGCCCAGGGGTGTGGATTCTCCTCTCGCACACTATTTCCGAAGCATCGTGCTCCTGGTGTCGTGTGTGAACAATCATTAAGGTTTCGTTAGGGCTTTCACTTGGGAGAGGTGGCCAGACTCTGTAGTGCTAAAGCCTCTTGGAATTGACATCGATCTTTAGGGGGAATTCTGAGTGTCCTTACAGACAAGCCAGGGTTCTGGGGGCAGCTCACACAGGTATGGGTAGAGATGGTTGTCCTTAAGGTCCAGGGAGCACTGGGCTCACCGTGGGAGCTGGTGCAGTGCAGCCGCTTTGGCTGTTTCAGGGCCACTCTGACCTAATTGCTCACCATGGTCTGGCTGAGCTGGGGAGAGTGACACAGGGTAGGAGTCTTAGAGGCCCTCTCTCTCTAGAAGCCCCTCCCACCGTTGTGGGGCTGTGGGGAGCGTGCAGGGCTCCAGCCTGTTGTTGGAGTGGGGTTCTGTGATGAATTAAAAGATTAGACTGTGGCCCTGGGGCAAACCCCCTCCAGGCAGTGTTTGGAGGAGCTGATGCTCCAGTGCTTCCCTTGGGGCTTGGAGCCAGTCCGCTGCCCAGGCCCTGGGTGTGGCGGAGCAGCTGTAAGAGAGCAAGTTTGGCAACAGAGGAACGGACCTCCCCTTACTTAGTTCTGAACAGCCTTGGATGGGGCCAGGTGGGTGGTCACAGTGCTGCAGCCCAGGCCTCAGGTACTGGGGAAAGCTTTACTGGTGTGTCTACCGTGTGTGTTTGTGTGTGTGTGTGTGTGTGTGTGTGTGTGTGTGTGTGTGTGTGTGTGTT